GGTGATATAAGGATAACAACAGGATAAACCAAAGGTTTATGGAAAAGGAAAAATAGGAATCCAAATGGAATGAGATAAAGACCAAATGGATCAAGAGAGAAAGAGGAATGAAATGGAAAGGAGAAAGGAATGGAACGGGATCATACTCTTACACCTGCCCTCCCCATCACCAACATTAAAGGGCTTGACTTGATCTTCGGGCGAGACTTCCTCAAGAAATTCAACCCCGAGATCAACTGGGTAAACCGCACCGCAAGCATCTACAACAACAGAATGAGAGTCCAGCTACCCAATTGGGACGATACCGGAGATATCCCCGTGGAGAGACTCGCAAGGTTCGAGAAGGACGTAAAACGAACCAACACCGGGTCTCTGGCTATAGCAGCAGACGTGGAAAGGGATGGAGAGAAAGAATTGCTGAAGAAGTTCCAAGACATTCTTCCCGACGACCTTCCAGACAAGCTACCGCCATACCGAACGCACCAACACGAGATCGTGGAGGAGCGAGGTTTGAAGCTGACATTCCGAGCACCATATTGGCTCAGCCCCACGGAACTAGCCGACATGAAGAAACAGATCGAGTATCCCCTCGCCAAAGGACTCATGTGACCATCCACTTCGCGATACGGTGCCCCAGTACTCTTCACACCAAACCGGATGGAAGCCTACGCATTTGCATCTACTACGGTACCAAGCTCTCAACAAGCAGACCATCAAGAACAAATACCCGATTGCACGAATCGATGACCTGCTTGACCAGCTTTGGGGAGCCACGGTATTGTCCAAATTAGATCTGCGCTCCGGATACTGGCAGATAAGAATGGCGGACAATTCCATTCACAAAACTGCCTTCCGAACTCGGTATGGGTCGTACGAGTATCTGGTAATGCCATTCGGACTCACCAACGCACCCGCGATGTTCCAAGCAGAAATGAACCACATTCTATGCCCACTCTTGGACGAATGTGGTGGTGTATCTGGACGACATCCTCATCTATTTGTGCAATATAAGGCAACACGTAAAGCACATGCGACGCCTCTTCGAAATTCTGCGACGAGAACGATTCTACGTCAAAATGTCCAAGAGCGACTTTGCCCTAAAAAAGGTCCAATTCCTCGGACATATAGTAAGCGCTCAAGGAGTTCACGTCGACCCCAAGAAAATCGAAGTCGTACGCACGTGGAAGACACTTGAGAACGTGAAGGAGTTGCAGCAGTGCCACAATACGTAAAAATCGCCGCGCCACTCACGAATCTGCTAAAGAACAACACGCCCTATAACTAGAACCAAGACACCAGGAAGCCGTGGAACAGCTAAAACAAGCACTCACGTCGGCACCCGTACTCATCTTGCCAGACCCCAAACGCGACTACATCATCAAATATGATGCTAGCTAGCGACGAGGCAGTGGGAGCAGTCTTGATGCAAGACCAGGGGAATGGACTGCAACCAATTGCCTACCTCAACAAGAAATTACAAGGGGCAAAACTAAACTACCCGATACACGACAAGGAGGCCCTTCCCATTTTCATCGCCTTCAAAACGTGGACGAAAAACAACCATCCACACTGACCATTACAACATAAAATATTTGAAGACACAACCAAGTCTCTCCAGGTGGCAGGTCCGGTGGATCGACTTCCTCGAGACGCACTTCCACTATGACATCGTGTACAAGCCTGGCCATAAAAACAAAGCTGATGCTCTTAGCCGGCCTGCACACGTTGCCGCTATCCAGGTCAAAGGGATGAACCCACTACTCAAGGGACTCTTCACACACGGGTACACCACCGACCCCGAAATTCCCTTGGTAGAAATGCGACACCTGCTACAGTGGGACAACGCCATTGCGTACCGGAAAGGATCAACGAAAATCTAGGTACCCAATTACCCTCCTTTGCACCAGTTACTACTCAAAGAATACCACGATATCCTATATGCAGGACACTTCGGTAGCAACAAGATGCTCTCTGGTATCGCCAAACACTACTACTGGTCCCAAATGGCAGACAAAGTGCAGAGCTTCATCACCTCGTGTGCTACATGCCAGCGGATGAAGAGCAGCAAGCAAAAAAAGGCGGGACTGCTACAACCTCTTCCTGTTCCAGAACAACCATGGTAAGTGGTAAGCCTAGACTTCATCACCCGGCTACCAACTACCACAAGCGGTCATGACGCGATCCTCGTCGTCATTAACAAGTTCTCCAAAATGGGACACTTCATCCCGACACACACAACAGCACGCACCAAGGAGACGGCACAACTCTTTGTTCGCTACATCATCTCACAACATGGCATTCCGACCACACTCATCTCTGACCGAGACCCCAAGTTCACCAGTAAATTCTCGAATGAACTAATGTCTCTGCTCGAGACCAAAGTCACCATGTCATCCGCCTACCATCCGCAGTGAGGCGGCAGACCGAGTGTCTCAACCAAATTGTAGAGCAACTCCTCCGTGCAGCATGCAAGGACGAAATCGCTAAATGGGACTTGCATCTGACCATTATGGAGTTTGCCTACAACAGCACCACTCACGTTGCTACTGGACAGACGCCATTCTTTCTCTATTACGGATGCCACCCACTCACACCCCAGCAATCAACCGTATCCGCGACAGTCCAACCCGCACATGCCTTCATCACATTCATGCACCAGCTTTGGGATCGGACCCACAAGCGCCTTCTCGACGTTCAGCAACAACATAAGCGCCAGGCCGATCGCCACCTAACAGACCACACTATCACAGTGGGAGACCGAGTTCTCCTCGACACCCGCAATCTTGACATCGGCCATCTCCCATCCAAACTACGACCTCGCTTCTGCAATCCTTTCCTTCTTGAAGCACATGTTACTCTTATTAGCTTCCGCTTAGGCCTGCCAGCTACCTGGAAGATTCACAACGCATTCCATGTCCAACTCTTGAAGCCCTACCGAGATCCCAACACGGTCTTCACCGGACGCCAACCGCCGCCGCCCGTCCTCGTCCATGCTTGCTACGAGTACGAGGTCGAGTCCGTGCTTGCTCACCGCCGTCGACGGAATGGCACAGTGGAGCTTCTCATCCGTTGGAAGGGTTATGATCCTTTTGAGGATAGCAGAGTCCCTGAATCCGACATGGATAACGCTCGTCGTTCTCTTCGCGACTACCTTGTCAAGCAGGGTGTTATTTTTACCACCCAGCTTTGAGGGGGGGAAGTGTGCGAGTGCGACCCCGATCCACTTGTTTCTTATTTCGTATTTCCCATTTATCTCGCTCGTCTTTTTATCCCGATTCATTTGATCCTCATCTCATCTCATTTGGATTTCTCTTCCTCCATTTCCAAAATCCTTTGGTTTATCCTCTGATTATAATTATATCACCGACTAGGCTCGAGATGTATTGGCGCGCTATATCTAGCATAATCCTGCCGTAGTCCTTTAAAGCCAATAGCATCGCGTGGCTATACGCAGGGTGATTCTATTTCTAGAAGGGTCTATTCCCTTTAGATAGGATAAACCTGGTTACCTAATGTACCTTGGAAGTATAAAAGCGCCTTGTACTGATGGATAGTGCAACTTTTCCTTGACTCATTCGATCCTGTAACACTAGAGGCACGAACGTGAGCAAGGCAGTCCCAGACGTGGAATTCACTTGTGTCACCAGGGGACCCGGCCCAGATAAGTGTCGACGAAACCTTCGGCCGCTGCGAGTGCGGCCATATGTTTAGCTGGTGAGCAGCGTAGCAAACGGTGAACGACCACAGAAAATGGGGTGCACCTGCTTGGATCATGGAGGTACGAGCCACCTCCATGACCAAACCGATGCGTAGCTCAGCGATTGCATTCTGCTGAGGGGAGTCCGGCGGGGTGTACGTCGTGGTGATGCCCTCTGCATGACAAAACCGACCAAGGGAACCAGAGGCGAACTCACCACCATTGTCGGAGTGAAGCTGCAGCACTGGGAGACCTTGGTGGATACGCGTAGCGACAAGCCACGGGATAAGTGTTGTGTGATGTCATCATATGCTATCACATTCTCTCTGCCTCCCATCCCTTGTTTCAATTCGCATGTATGGTTTGACAGTGTGTGAAAGAATTTGTGTGGTGTGTGTTCTGGAGTTTGGGAATGTGTTTTGTGTTATTCTGTCTCAGCAGGTATTTTGTGATAGATCTTGAGAAGATCTTTCCGACACAACGAGAATCACTTTAATCGGAGCAAGAACGGGCAAGCTATGAAGATTCAAAGTTCATGAGCTTGCGTTACAATTGCGGCGGTTACAAAGTGAAGTTGTGGGGTGACTCTATATGGAGTTGGGACCTTTGGGGTTGGGGAAATTCGTCACTCTACTGTAGCAGCTGCAAAATTGGTTGGGAACCACCAAGCTAGATTGGCAAGGGTGGCCAACTTGGTTGGATTGGTTGGGAAGGGACAAATATCAAAGATGGGGTTCCTATAGAGAGGGAATCTTTGTGCTTATGGTTGGGGACTCTCTTAGGACCTTCCCTCTCATCCCTCTTTTCTATCCCAACCTTTCTCTTGCTCCTCTAATTCCTTGTGAGATTCTTGAACTTTAATTGAACTTTTGAGATTCAGTTAAGTTCTCCTCCTACAGCTTACCCTCTAATGCGTCGAAAGCCATAGCGTCGCAAATACTTCATCAATCAACGTGATTCAAATTGGGAACGGTAGCTGAAATTAAGAGCTACAACATATCCAAGTTTTGCGACATTCCAACGGCTAGTTTTTTGTCGATGTCGTTTCTTGTGAAGATGGCTTTTCTGTCCAGAATTTCGGATTTATATTTTGAGTAATTCTAGTTCCTAAGTTTACCTAGCCATATTGAGGACATTGAGAGGAGTCTATAGAAGTGTGAAGACCCTTCTAGACCCACCATGGCCTGTGGGTATGCCTGAGTGGTGTTCTAAAGGTTGGATGTGTCTTCCGCTAAAGGGAAACTCTGTCGAAATTTCGTGGACGCCGACACTTGTGAAAATATCGAGGGAGCTGAGTGTGGACAGCAAAGGGGAGCTGAAATTCGTCATTTCTCAAGGAGAAGATGAATGAGAGGGGAGGAGATGCTAATGGAAGAGGAGCTGTACCTGAGAAGACAAGTGAGCTGCCGCCATCAAAAGTTGAAGCTTTGGATGGCTCCAACTATGAGGAATGGAGCGGGCGGATGAGGAGTGCCTTCAAACGCTACAAGCTACTGAAGATTGCTGTTGGGGAAGAGAAGATGCCGGAAGAAGGCGAACCACGTGAACGGTGGATTGAAAAAAGCGCGGTGCTCTTCGACCTCATCCTTCAATCGGTCAACAAGGCGATGTTCGAGCACATCAAGGATCTTGTGGAAGCGGATGATTCGGGTCCAAGGGCGTGGAAATTACTACGCGATGTGATTCAGCCCAACACTCTCCCGATGGTGATCATGCTCGAGAAGGAACTTGCTGCCATCTGCATGTGACCAGGGGACGATGTGAAGCCGGTCCTTGACAAGATCAAGGACACCTATGCAAGGATGGCAGCAGTGGGCAGCAGTGTATCTCAGCTGCAGCAGTGCACCAAAATCATCTCGGTATTGGACAACTCTTGGGACAACCTCATCCCCACCCTCAACTCTCAGCAAGATCAATGGACACCTGAGTGGCTAAGGCAGCAGATTCTGCAGGAGGACTTCCGCAGATGCCATGTGGGAGGTGGTGCTTCCACTAAGACTGCTGAGGGGTATGGAGCTGCAGGGCGCGGCAGAGGAAGAGGGGGTTGGAGAGGCCGAGGCCGTGGGAGGAGCTTTGGCAGAGGTAGAGGCCGAGGTGACTATAATGAGGGGCATGGGAGCTCCAGTGGCAGGGGGAGTACCAGAATGGAGGGCACCTGCTGGTACTGCAAGAAGGTCCGCCATCCTTGGTTCAAGTGCTTCAGCAAGTCGGAGGGATGGGCACCTCCAGGCATGAAGCCGCCCAGTGGTGAACGCGCACAAGGTGGCGCTGTGCAAGGCTCAGGTGCACAAGGTGAAGGTGCATAAGGTAATACCTATCCTTGGATGTTTCTCATAGTTGAGGATGTGCATGGGCATGAGGGTGATGTGGGATCTGTGGGAAAGGTTGTGATGCACCCTCTCACGCACTGGGTGATTGATTCAGGTTGCACCAGTCATATGACGCCACGGGCAGATTTGCTTGATAAGATAAAACCCCCTGGGAAGATTAAGTATGTGGCAGCAGCGTCAGGTGCTTTGCTCCCTGTGATTGGTGTTGGAAATGCCAAGGTTAAGGGAGCTAATGGGGAGCTTGTGGGGCTTGGGAATGTTCTGCTGGTTGAAGGTTTGTCTGCTAACCTTCTCTCTGTGCGGCGACTGCAGAAGAGCAAGGCCGAAGTGACCTTGGGACCAACCAGCTGCCGTGCTAAGCTTGGGAAGAAGGTGCTGTGGAGTCTGGAAGAGGAGACCAGCTGCATCAAGGACCTATGGCAGCTGCCCATCATCCCTTGGAATGGGAAGACTCCAACAGCAGCAACGGCAGCAGCGGCAAAGGCAACAGCAGGAGGAGATGCAACCGCACCAACTGATGGGGTCCTGGAAGCAGTCAAGAAAGTGCAGCAGCAGCAGACACATGGTGAGGTGCTTGCTGGTGTGGATGCGAGTGCGACATGGGCTAAGGCTTCATCAAGGAGTGGAGAGGCCGATTGGGAGACATGGCATGAGAGGCTGTGTCATGTGAACTTCCCTATGCTGCAGAAGTTGGTGAAGGATGGGAGCCTGAAGGGCTTGGAGGTGAAAGGGGGAGTGAAGGAGATTGGGAGCTGCCCTACATGCTTGGAGACCAAGTTCTCCAAGTTCCCCTTCAACAGCATTACAGGACCAGCGAAGACCCCACTTGCACTTGTGCACATGGATGTGGTGGGGCCCACAAGAGCCCCTTCCCTTTCAGGCAGCCGCTATTTCTTGACAATTGTGGATGACCGCACTCAGGTAGTGTGGGTTTACCCTTTGAAGAGCAAGGGGGAGGTGGCAGCAGCTGTCCTTAAGGAGTGGATGCCTAGAGCTCAGAGGGAATGCGGACACAAGGTGAAGGTGATCCGCAGTGATAATGGTGGGGAGTTCATTGGAGCTGATTTTGAGGGGGAGTTGAAGAGGAAGGGGATCCAACATCAACTGACAGTGCCCTACAACCCGCAGTAGAATGGCGTGGCTGAGAGGTTCAACAGGACCCTGCAGGAGGGGGCACGCACTCTCCTTGGGCGTGCAGGGCTGCCTGATCCGTTTTGGGTGTGTGCACTGAGGCAGGTCGCCCTTGTGAAGAACAGGGTGCTAGCTACAGTTGGGGATAAGGAGTGGATCCCGTATAGCAAGTGGTATGGGAGTGCTCCAGCTGTGAACATGCTGAGGGCATTTGGGTGCATGGTGGTGTTTCATGTGCCCAAGGAGAAAAGGGGGAAGTTGGAGGCTTCTGGAAGATGGGGTGTGCACTTGGGGATTGCAAAGGATCACAAGGGGTGGCTACTGTGGGACTTGACCACCCAGAAGCTGACTGTGTCAAGGGATGTGAAGTTTCTTGAGTCCCTGTACTACAAGGAATGGAAGCAGCAGCAACAGAAGCTTCCATCTACACCGCTCATTGTGGAGGCAGATGAGGTGCAGCGGCCTTCAAGACAGGTGGAGGTTGCAGTGTCTGAGGAGGAGATGTCTGGGGTGACTGAGAAAGGGGGAGCAGCTGAAGTGGAGCCGCAGCAGCAGCAGCATGAGTCTCCACCTCGAGTTCCACACCCGTCTGAGCGACCTAGGAGGGATGTGCGCCCTCCGGTGAGACTGACCTATGGGGGAAGAGGCAAGCCGAATGAGGTGCAGGCTGGGGGTGTAGTTGAGCAGATTGAGGAAGATGAGATTGCATTGTGCTATTGGGCTGCAATTCCTCAGCCCAAGGTACTGATGCTAGCTTCAACGCAGTGAAAGCGGATGGCACCAGCATTGGGGGTTATGTGTGCTTGCTGGGAGGTGGTGCTGTGAGCTGGCGTAGTAAGAAGCAGAAAGAGGTGGGATTGTTCTCATGTGAGACTGAGTACATGGCTGAGGCGCTTGTTGGAGGAGTTGGGAGTTGGTCAGGAGGAGCCGACAGTTGTGTTCTGTGACAATGAGTCTGCAGTGAAGCTCGCCAAGAATGCTTGTCTGCATGGGCTGACAAAACACATAAGGCCTAAGTGGCATTTGGTGAGGAAACTCCTTGATAAGGAGGTGCGGCTGGAGACAGTGAAGACCCATCAGCAGGCAGCGGATATTTTCACTAAGCGTCTGGCAGAGGCGGATCATTGGAAGGGCATGAAGCTTGCTGGTGAGTGTGCATTGAGTATGCATGATTGAGATATTGGTATGGTGGATGATGGTTGGCAGCGAGAGGGGGAGATTGTTGTGTGATGTCATCACATTCTGTCTGCCTCCCATCCCTTGTTTCAATTCGCATGTATGGTTTGACTGTGTGTGAAAGAATTTGTGTGGTGTGTGTTCTGGAGTTTGGGAATGTGTTTTGTGTTATTCTGTCTCAGCAGGTATTTTGTGATAGATCTTGAGAAGATCTTTCTGACACAACGAGAATCCCTTCAATCGGAGCAAGAACGCGAAAGCTATGAAGATTCAAAGTTCATGAGCTTGCGTTACAATTTCGGCGGTTACAAAGTGAAGTTGTGGGGTGACTCTATATGGAGTTGGGACCTTTGGGGTTGGGGAAATTCGTCACTCTACTGTAGCAGCTGCAAAATTGGTTGGGAACCACCAAGCTAGATTGGCAAGGGTGGCCAACTTGGTTGGATTGGTTGGGAAGGGACAAATGTCAAAGTTGGGGTTCCTATAGAGAGGGAATCTTTGTGCTTATGGTTGGGGACTCTCTTGGGACCTTCCCTCTCATCCCTCTTTTCTATCCCAACCTTTCTCTTGCTCCTCTAATTCCTTGTGAGATTCTTGAACTTTAATTGAACTTTTGAGATTGAGTTAAGTTCTCCTCCTACAGCTTACCCTCTAATGCGTCGAAAGCCATAGCGTCGCGAATACTTCATCAATCAACGTGATTCAAATTGGGAACAGTAGCTGAAATTAAGAGCTACAACATATCCAAGTTTGCAACATTCGAAGGGCTAAGTTTTTGTCGACGTCGCTTCTTGTGAAGACGACTTTTATGTCCAGAATTTCGGATTTATATTTTGAGTAATTCTAGCTCCTAAGTTCACCTAGACTCCGTCCTTAATCCTAACAATAAGGATGGCAGGCACGTCGGCCTTCCGCTAGTCGTCGACAAGCACTAGAAAGTAATGCTCGCGACGCGGCCCATGGATGGGGGCCGGGCCCCAGACGTCCATGTGCATGGTCTGCAGTGGTGCAGTGGTGGGGGGGAACGAGGAGGAGTGAGTAGCACGACGGAGCCAGCCCTCGATGGAGGGCGTGCACGGCGGCGCGGTCGAGGGAGGAAGCGCAGGGAGCGACGCAGGGAGACCTAAGACGAGACCACTTAGGGACATGTGACGCAGGCCGGGGAGGGCAGGGCGACCTAAGCGGTGGTGCCACAGCAGAGACGCCGAGGTCCTGAAGAACGAGGGGATGTGCAAGCCTGTAAGGGAGCCCGAGGGAACCGCCAGACAGGAAAGGATGGTGGAGCTACGTGCAACTACCGGACCTGAGGAGGGGTCGGCAAGTGCAACTGCGGCAAGGGCGGCAAGCGGCGTGAGCATAGTGTGGTCTCAAAAGAAGCAGGTGGACGCTCCAGAGTCCAGCTTGAAAGAGAGCGCGGCCGTAGTGGTAGGAGGCGGAGGAGCTAGGGTGGAGCCAAGGCTACACAAAGCAGGGGGACCTACGCCTGACGCAACAGCGGAGACTAGGCTACACACACTAGGCACACCTAAACTCGGCAACACGGGGTAATAAGAATGAGTCACACTAGACTCATTAACACACAATGCATACAAGGCAGAATTAATCTGGTCCATATCCATCTCAAAGATCTAGAGGTGACGGCGGAGTAGGCTGTGCGAGTCGGGGAGGTTCGGCTCGGGGCCGAAGCAGAAATGAAACAGGTCATCTTGACGACGAAAACAACGAGAGGCTGTGTGACCGGCCTTACCGCACACGGATCCGCGGTGAGGACTGGTCTGGAGCTGGTACTGGCAGGGCCCGACACCGGCACCACCACCCGACACCAAGTTGTGCGCACTGCCACCTTGACCACCACCACCACTAGCGCCAGGCCACCCCGGGGGGAGGCAGTACAACTGCTACTGTTGTTGTGGCTGCTGCTCCGGGGCAGCAGCCTCGGTCCCCTCGTCGGTACTACCCGCGGACAAACCACCGCCACCACCGCCGCCAAACCCCCCCCCCCACCGCCGCCACCACCATCGCGTCCAGGCGAAGCACCGAGTCCGCCATCACAGCACCTGCAGCGGCTGACCGGTGGAGGAGTGCGGCGCGGTGCAGAGCGGTGGAGGGCGGTAGGGGGCGGTGCAAAGCGGTGTAGCGCGGTGCAGTGCGGTGGAGGGGATGTAGAGGAGTGCATTGCGGTGGAGGAATCTGCAAAGGGGTGCAGTGCGATGGTCAGCGGTGGAAAGCGGTGAAGGTGACCCTCGGCGGAGGCTCCGGCGCAGGTGGAGACCAGGTGTCACAGGATCGAATGTCTCGAGGAAAAGTTGCACTCTCTATTGATACAAGGCGCTTTTATACTTCCAAGGTACATCAGGTAACCAGGTTTATCCTATCCAAAGGGAATAGATCCTTCTATCACCCTGCGTATAGCCACGCAAGGCTATTGGCTTCAAGGGATTATGACACTATTACGCGAGATAGAGCGTGCCAGTACATCCCGAGCCTGGTTGGTAATATAGTTATCATATGAGGAAAAAGCAAAGGATTTTGGAAATGGAGAAAGGGGAATCCAAATAAGATGAGATGAAGATCAATGAATCAGGATGAAAAAGACGAGCAAGATAGAAGGGAAATATGGAAATAAGAAAGAAGTGGAACGTGGTCGCACTCTCACAAATCCCCTCTCAAAGCTGGGTGGTAGAAGTAACACCGTGCTTGACAAGGTAGTCACGAAGAGGATGACGAGCGTTATCCATGTCGGATTCAGGGACCCAGCTATCCTTAGAAGGATCACAACCCTTCCAACAGATGAGAAGCTCCACGGTGCCATTTCGTCGACGGCGGTGAGCAAGCACGGACTCGACCTCGTACTCGGGTTCATCATGTACGAGGACACGTGGCGACGGCAGTGGTTGGCATCCGGTGAAGACCGCGTTGGGATCTCGGTAGGGCTTCAAGAGTTGGACATGGAAGGCGTTGTGAATCTTCCAGGTAGCTGGCAGGCGTAAGCGAAAGATACCAGGAGTGACCTGTGTTCAACGAGGAAAGGCCCACAGAAGCGAGGTCGTAGTTTGGATGGGAGATGGCCGATGTCAAGATTGCGAGTGTCGAGCAGAACTCGGTCTCCCACTGTGATAGAGTGGTCTGTGCGGTGGCGATCGGCCTGGCGCTTACAGTGACGGAAAAAACTGTCCGGATGTTTGGCACTAATTAGGGTTTTTAGGCTATCCGATCACGGTACATAAAGTCTTAATGGCATCTTTGGTCATACCTCAGTGTGGCTAGCCTCATACGTAACACTCAAATAGAAATCGTGCACAAAACTCTTGCACACGCTCAAATCCTTCGCAATTTTCCAAGTGCTCACCCCCTTATGCAAAAGGGTGGGTCCAAGAAGAGTGCGAGAAGATCTCTGCGACGGTTTGCACTAGCCATGTAAATAACATGCCTAGGAGGTTGCGGGTGGTGATCAAGGCCAAGGGTCGGTATACTAGGTACTAGAAACCTGTTTGGACGTTTGCTCTTTGTCTCCGGAAAAAACTGTCCGGATGACCCCCTTTTATAACTTTTGGCGCTAAGTTAGATCCAGTGTACTACTATGGATTTAGCGCACTGAACACATCCACTATGTGCCCCTCCCAAAGCGTACCACCATTAGACATTAAGAATTATATACCCTGGTCGAAAAGCCTAAAAACCCTAATTAGTGTCAAACATCCGGACAGTTTTTTCCGTCACTGTATGTTGTTGCTGAATGTCGAGAAGGTGCTTGTGGGTCCGATCCCAAAGCTGGTGCATAGTTGAGATGAAGTCATGTGCGGCTTGGACTGTGGCGGATACGGCTGGTTGCTGGGGTGTGAGCGGGTGGCGTCTGTAACAGAGGAAGAATGATGTATGTCCAGTAGCGAC